TGGCAGAAAAGCCAGCTCTAATCGGCAAAAATGAGGTAGTTCAATAGGCTATGCACTCCATGTAGTTGCTCTCCATGGTGATAAAAACAACAACAAAGAGTATTCCTGTTGTGCAGAACTGGAGCTGCTGCCGACTTATCCCTGAGATTGCTCATGTACCTGAGAACACAGTGCAGGAATGAGGGCCTTAGATTAAAATATACAAAAATACAAACCCAGAATATTTATCTTAAGAAAAAAAAAGTTAAAATGCACAAGATACGTCATTCACACACAGCTAGTGCGGTTGGCATCCTGGAGAAAGTGGGACCCAAGGTGCAGTCATCCGAGGGAGCAAATAAATAAAATCACGTTGGCCTAGAGTAGGGTGGGAGTCAGTGTAGGAGCAGCAGGTCTGCTGCTGTTCCTCTAACCACCCTTCCCGCCCGTCATCACTACCCGTTGCTTGGGACAGTTGCCAGCACCTTATCCCAAGAGTGGGTATGAGGATACAAGATGTGAAAAAAGCCCTGCCTTACTGAGAGACTCTCCTCCCACAGGATATAATGGTTTGAGTTCATTAATATGACCTTATACTTCATCGTTTCAATCTGGCATGGGAATTATTCTTAAGGATCCTTTTTAAAAAGGAAAACAACTTCCCTATTCAGGCTACTTTCAAAAGTCTAAGATTCTGGAGATTGAGCCTCAGATAAATTATGCGGGTTCTAGGGTGATATCCCCCACCCAAAACCCTCACTTGCATTTGGACAGAGCATGGTTGGAGTTCCTTTGCCTCACTCCTTCTCCCCACCAAGAGGGAAGAAGGGGTGATACTGTGAACCGCGGCCTAAGATACATGGCAGTGCCAGCTGGCCCCGACCCACCGTATTCCCACTTTCTCCACTCTGCCTCTTCCTTGAAACGTTCTCATAGCAAAAGAATAGCCACTGCCCAATGTGGCTCAATTCTGGGCCTCTGGGAGCAGGGCAGGGCTGTGGATTTCTTCTTCTTCCTCACGAAAGTAGGCTGGCTTTCCCTGTGTACTAGGGGCCTGCTGGGCCTTCAGTGGACATGAGGCTACCATATGGCTGATGCTCTGGCAGAAGTGACACTTCTTGGGCTGAGGTGGCAGCTTGCATTCCTTGGCATGATAGTCTAGACCTCCACAGTTGTAGCACCTGTCTCCTTTTGATCCGCGCTTCTGCATGTTCTTTCCCTTTGGCCGCCTCTCACTCCCAATACAGAACACCCCACCAGGTCCAGTGACACGAATAGATTCCAGGTCCTTGGCAGACTTCTTAAAGGTGAACTCCACTGCCTCGCCTTCCTTCAGGCTCCGGAAGCCTTCCATGTGTAGCTTACTCTGGTGCACAAAGACGTCCACCGGGGGGTCGAGCGAGACCCCGGCGCGGATGGTCATGGACAGGAAGCCAAACCCCATGTGCACGTTGAACCATTTGCAGATACCGGCACCGTGCAGCAGCTGCGGCCCGTCTGCCGCCCGGGTCGTGTCCTCCGGCGCCTCCTCGGGTGCCTCCTCCGCCACCTTGGTGCAGCCACCTGCAAACTGCTGGTTGGACACGGAGCCCATGGTCGTCGGCTGAGCCCGCGGCCCCGGGCCCCTGGTCGGGCGGCTGCTGGCCCCAGAGAAGTCCGGAGGCAAAGGGCATAAATACACATTTTAAAATGACAAGGTCCATGTCAATTAGGCATTTGTTTTGTTTTAAACAATAAAATCCACATAACAAATAACTTCCTAGGAAGACAAAAGGGTCTTTACTTATTATTCTTAATTCATTTTAAGTTAAATACATTTTCCAAGTCACCAAGTTATACATCATGTATAAAAAAAGAGTGAATGAAAAACTAAATAATTAAATAGATCGTTGGGAATAACAATTTTTTACTTCAGCAAAAATGGCAATTTTTTAAAAATTGCCCTACCTGACTTATTAATTAATTCCGAATTTCAACCTATCTCAGTAGTAAAAATAAAGTACAAGTCCTTCCAAATTAGTAAATTACATCACAAGGGAAAAAATCCAGATTCTTCAGAAGAGTTATGAGGAATAGGATTAAAAATGTAATTATTGTATAGTCTCAACAATTATTATAGAAATAAAAAAATCTTGATGTGAACATATAAAAGAAAGAAATACTAAAGTCATAATTAATATTGAAGTGTTTTCAGTCAGATATTTTAACAAACAACATATTGGTGAAAGTAATTATTTTTCATTACAAATGTGGATCAATTAAAATTAACTGACAGAAAGCAGACAAGGTGATCAACACTAAGAAATACAAAATAGCAGATTGAGACAGCACAATCAGCTACCTTGTTATTTGCCTACTTCATTTGTATATCTGCTAGTGTAAGAGGAAAAGAAAAACACATCAAAGTAAGGATTTGGGGAAAATGTATCTCTTTTTAAATCATTTCTATAAGGTTTAAATCCCTTTTTTATAATGTAAATTATTTCATTATTCCATTCCTACATTCGCAACTCATTTTTTTTAAATGAGGTATTCTTTCATCATTCCCTAAGAGTAAAAGTGTTTTGCTGTGACAACAGGTTATTGTAACAGTTATTTTATTTCCCATCTATTAAGCTTAGACTGCTTGAATCTGGCTTTCTGAAATTGTAAAGTGTAAGTTTTCTTCCTCTTTTCTGCTCAATTTTAGACAAATTTTCCTATACGGTATCTCTGAATTTAGTGGTTATATAGCTTGTAACCTTTAAAATGTTTAGATCAACTCCTAACTAATTTACTTATAAATTACTTAAACTTGAATACAGTTATTAAACATGGCGTTGCTCACCTCAGAGAATAAAAATTAATAACATAATTTGTATTAGATGCTTTAGCATAGTGCTTGCTTGGCCACTGAAACTTTAAATTAGTGATGACACGTTCTTATTACTTCTAAGATGTTTCCTTTACCTGGAACTAAGGATATATTATTTGACTCATTGACTGACCTGCTTGCTTGTATTTTGCCTTTTCTTTTATTTGCACAAATACTACACAAATTGATTATCAGTATTAAAAAATGGAAACAAAATTCAGTGAATATTAAAGTGCAACTTGACACCTTACCTGTGTCAAATACATCTCTCCAGAGACTGTCTATGCTTTAGTTTTATAAATTACACATTTGCACAATATCTATGACTATACAATATAATTTTTCCACAAAAATTTGAATATCTTTGTGTTTATAATCTTATATACGTATGAATGCTTCTCTTAGATACTTTCATAAAAGTGGAATTAATGATTAATAAGACACACTGTGAAAAATTTGCAATTATGTTTAAATATTTGAAGCCAAAAGTTTGAAGATTTATAGTAATCCCTGCAGAAATCATGGGGCTAGCAACAGACTGCATTTACTCTCTTCTGGAGTTCTAAGAAATAGGGCATCTGGAACCTTTCTCATACTGTGCATTATCAAACAGTTTAATTTTGGATAATATGAACAGGCAAATATTAATGTCATTATTACTTCTTTAAATTCTCAGATTTCTTTCCACTTCAAAATATTTTCAAGTCACTCAATTGTGTTTATTTCATTCACTTTCTTGTCATTTTCTAGTTGATTGATTTATGGGATGCTTTGTTACATAAAATTATAATTTGGAAAATAATTTCCTATCCAGTGTATGTACTGCAAATACTTTATTTCAGTAGGCTTGGTTCAAACTTTGTTTATGGCACATTACATACACACATACACACACACACACACACACACACACACACACTCTCTCTCTCTCTCTCTCTCTCTCTCTCTCTCTCTCTCTCTCTATTGGTTCATTGCTGAGAACTCTAACATTATATTTTCTTCAAATTATAGGTAATTATTCCTGCATATTCTAATGTAACTAACCTGGTTGTAAATAATCTGGTTGATATTTTACATTTTTTTTTTTGAGTTGGAGTCTCACTCTGTGACCCAGGCTGGAATTCAGTGGCACGCTCATAGCCACCGAAGCCTCAACCTGCTGGGCTAAGGCGATCCCTCTACCTCAGCCTTCCAAGTAGGCAGAACTACAGGTATGTGCCATCACATTGGCCAATTTTTCTTGATATGTTGTAGAGATGAGGTCTTGTGAAGTTGCCCTGGCTGGTGAAAGTTATATTTTTAAGTATTCAGAGATAGACTTTGCTTTTTTTCTGTAATATATGTTTTGTATGTAATGTGTGTTTTCAAACTGTTTTAACAGAAATTCTGTGAAAGAAGAGAGGGAAACATGATACATTTATGAGATTTACATATTTAGATATAATAAGTCTTACTTGTAGAAAATACTTGCTGCTGCTAAAAATATTTGAAAGTCACTGGAAAAAACAATGGATCAGCTCACAGTTTGTTGTCTTTCTGTTTTTTGTTTTTTCTCTTTAGCACATGGTCTTAATTGTCCAGGCTTTTGTTTGGGTAATTGTTTGTTTTATCATACATATCAAAGAGCCATAGTTTCCTGTTTACCTAGAATCAATTAAATGGCATTCTTCAAAAATTATAAATAGAAAAGCATATTATTATTGTATTACTACTATAAAAGTGGAAGTGATAGTTCTAGAAGAGATACAGTCTTGCATTGTGATTAAGATTATGGTTATGGGAGTTGCACTAATTCGTTTTTAATCTTGGCTTGAACTTGGCTAAGTTGGTTAACCGAGCCACATGTGTCAATGTTGTCATCTGCAAAATCCACCTACCTTATAAAGTTAAGAGCACAAAATTAGTTATTCTTCTCAGAGTGCTTAAAATCATGCTAGGCACATCATAAGTGCTCAATGAATGTCAAAGCTTGTGGGAGTCCAGTTCCTGCCAGGTTCAGGGTACCCCAAAGGTGGAGATGGCATCGGCGATTGTGAGAATGAGAGAAAGAGGGAGAGAGAAAGAGAGAGAGAGAGAGAGGAGAGAGAGAGAGGAGAGAGAGAGAGAGAGAGAGAGGCTTGGACAACTGCTTAGATTTGAGCAGAAGACCTTTATTGAGTGTCAACAGTGGGCTTTTTTTTTTTTTTTTTTTGAGTTGGTGTCTTACTCTATCGCCCAGACTGGAGTGCAGTGGCCACTTCTGGCCACCGCAACCTCAACCTGCTGGGCTCCAGCGATCCTTCCACCTCAGCCTTCCAAGTAGCCAGAACTACAGGCATGCGCTACCACGCCCGGCTGATTTTTTGATTTATTGTAGAGATGAGGTCTCGCTGCCCAGGTGGGTCTCGAACCCGCGGGCTCAGGCAATACACTCACCTCAGTCTCCTAAAGGAGCGGGATTACAGGCTGAGCCACCGAGCCCAGCTTAACAGTGGGCTTTTATACTCCTATGTCTTTCATGCTAACACAAAGCCAGGAGTGTGAGGGGCGTCCCCCACCCACCAGATGTTCTTTCAGGTATGAAGAAGAAAATCCCATAACAGATGTTAACCTTAATCCATGACTGACCTATTCTATAAAACTTTTTCATCCTATGCTGATTTATACTAATACCAAGTTAAATGATTCTATAGAAACTTAAATACTTAACTTTACAAGCTAAAGAGTCTCATCCCAGAGTGTCTGGAATGTGGCCCAGTCCAATGTTCACAGTGGGCTACCTGCAAGTAACCTAGCCACATTCTTTCAACAAAATGGCTGTCTAAACTTATATTCCTAAAACTATATTCTACAATTTACACCTTACTCAACTTCAATAAATCCTAAAATCACGACCCAGAAGCCTGTGACTAATACTAAGGCTCTTAGATGTGACCCGAGTTTGAATTGTAAGTTGTGTGAAAGCCAAAACTGCAGTTTGTGGAAGAATGGGAGCAATGAGCTTCTAAAGTTAGCTTGTGTTTGTCCCAGTCTCAGAGTTTTTATGTTTTGAGCTTACAGGAGCTTATTCTGGTTATAGTGCTGAGTAGAGGGGGGAGGGAATGGGGTCAACAGCTCCCGAACACATCCTAGTGGTCTCGGGGTCAGCGCCCTTCCCTGATCTCTAACGCTCAGTGGGCCTCCGTGGCCAGCTCCCAACATCTCCCCCTTTTTTAATTTTTTAGCATAAAACCATGAAACTCTGTATTGAACTGACTCTTCTTTAGCACTCTGAAGATGATTGGGAGTAAACACAGCAACAAAAGAATCACTGCTCCGCAAATGCCCACATTGATGAGTATAGATATTAATGATTTTTGGTTAGCAAATAATGAGCTAGTCAATTCAGTGGAATCTCTTGATGTAATATAGTAAGGTCAATTTTGTCCCAAGTATGGACAGATTTAAACTCAGAGTGACATTGGAGAGCCAATTTTATTTTGAAGTTCACAAGTTCTTGCCCTACTGCTAAAACTGTTTCCTCCAAAGCATTAACCTTACTTTTTAACTTCTGGTCTATGATTTTCTGAGTAGCTACGGCAATAGAAACATTTTTAGACAGCCGATCAGCAAACGTAGCTGTATGAAGTTTCTTAGATAACGCTACAGCTGAAAAGTAGCTATTAAAGCTGTAACTCCAAAAATCTTTTTTGTCTTTCTGAAAGGGAATTAACCTCATACAGTGTTTGTAAACCATATTCATCATATCAGCTAGATGACAATTGTACTGGAACCATTAAGTAAGGAGGCTGAGAATAACAAATCTCTTATAAGAAGCATCAGTTAAACAAT